GGAGCTTCCAGTGGCTTCCTCTTGACCCACACAACACATCCAGACTTTCACAATCTGGCTTGTAACTTCCCAACTTCCTCTCCAACTTCCTCCCCCCCCCCACTTCCCTCCCCTCTTCTCTCTTCTCCCTCCCTCTCAGCTCTTCACTTCCCACCTACTAGCAATGACTTACAAGACTTACTAGCAGTGGCTTACAAGGAAGCCCTTCCCACCACCTGGGATCTCTCCTTACAGTCTACAGTTGCCTTGCCCTTGAGGGCCTGCTGTGTGTCCTTCCCTGAAGCCTTTCTCATCACCTGTGTTGTAAGAGCCATCTCCCCACTAACTCCCACCTGCTTAACCTTGGCTCCAGCAGCTTAGCCACCAGCCTGGCTTCTACCCCTGTGGTGTCTGCCTCACCATAGGTGCCAGGTGGTGAGGACCAGAACCAGGGTGTATGCTGGCTTCCCCAGTGCCCAGCCACCTTAAAGATTTATCTATTTATGCATACAGAACTGGGGTACAGGCCAGAGGTGCAGGGGCAGTGAGAGGATTCACCGGAGACAGAGCGGGGAGCAGAACAGGCAGAACAAAGTCCACTGACCTCAGCACCTTTTACATACAGGGCTCAGTAAGTGCCCACAGCCTGCACTGATAGCGAAACTGCACAGGCTGAACTGGGCTAAGAGGCCTTCACAGACACCAAAGTCCTCTGGCCACTCCCTGCAGCCACATTTGTGAACACTCTACCTCCAGGGGTGCGCACATTATTCTATCCACTGTCTCAATTCCCTTCCAAATCCACCTTCAGAGAGTAAGACTCCCACTTGGATTTCACAGGCTATAGTCAGATCCCTGTCCTGCTAGACACTGGCTGGGTGACCTTAGGTGAGGAATAAACCTCACTGAGCCTCCGTGGGAAAATGGGGCAAGCGTAGGTCCCTACCAAAGAGGGTTTCTGGGAAGATAGACTGAGATGAAATGTGTGAAGCACTGGCACTTCATGTGGTGCCTGGCACGCCTGCAAGAGGACATCGGAGCAGGCACGGAGTGGGCGAGGCTGCTGTCCAGACTGAGATCAGGAACCACCCTGGGCCTCCGCTGAAAGCACTCAGCAGCGATTCATCACCGTGGAGGGGTCTTCCGTACGGGACCCACCCGCATCCATCCAAAGTGAACCATCAGCAGGGCCCAGTATATAAAGTGCCAGCAGCAGTCAACATCCGGAAACGCAGATGCCTGGGTTTACACTGTTGTCACCCCTGGCCATCTGACTTAACTGATAGTTACAATTCTTAGAAGGATTTTTAGTGCATCATTTCTATTTGCCAAGCCCAAAGAGTGATTTACACTATTTTTATTTTATGCTGTGGGCTCATTATTTATTGGTGTAGCAAACCTTTGTAACAGGCTAACAGCTGCGGAAGGAGGTATCAGCCACCCGCCACAGAAGATCAAGCCAAAGCCATCAGGTGTGAACAAACTAGCAATCCACATGCACATTCCCACTGTGCCGCACTGTAGCCGGTGGCCGTTTAGATAACAGGCTGGCATGGGGGTCACCCACATTGGGGCAAGACTGCAGGCACCAGGGTGCAGCACAGACTTCTGACTCGCACGCCTGCAAGAGGACATCGGAGCAGGCACAGAGCCCAGGAGCAGGCGAGGCTGCTGTCCAGACTGAGATCAGGAACCACCCTGGGCCTCTGCAGACCACACAGACATGACCCTTGACCAGGGCAGGCTGGGACCAGAACTGGGGAACTGGCCTTCACTCCAAACTGCTGAGCTTCCCCTGAGCTGGCCTGTCATCACACATCCCCTTGCTGCCCCTGTCTGTGGAGGCCAGGGTGGGCTGTGGCTTCACAGATGAGGCCCGGGGAGGGAAGCCCTGTGAAAGGTAGGGGAGTCCGGAGAGGGGACGAGAGAGGATCTGCTCATTAGCGGGACGGAGCAGCAGGCTCACACCTCGGGGACCATGCTACCCAGTCATCAGAGGGACACTGTAGGCGTCACCAACGCCAGCCAGAATCGAGAAGCACAGCTAGTGCCAAGTCCTGCTGCCCTGTCCCCCAGCTCTCTGCCTACCCCCCTCCTGGTACCCTGGAGATACATGGGGGCTTTCAGGACAGAAAGACAAAGGAGGCCCAGGAAATGGGACAAGCGACTTTAAGTTACCGAAGAAACCAAAGGTAAACATGGCCTTATTCCCCAAACCCTGGAAGCTAGAGGAATCCCAAGAGGCCACCTTAGCCAAGCCAAGCCACAGGGGCGCTTGGGCCAGCACAGACTCTGGGTCCAGAAGGGTTTGGAGCCTGGACCTACTCCCGACATATCTGAGAAAAGGGCAGGTGGGAGGTCTACTTCCAGCTCGGGAGGGGCGTGTCACGTCAGGCCACCCAGGTTCCTCAGGGCGGTAGCTGGAGAACTGCTGAGCGTGGGTATGAGATCATAGCCCGCCCACCCTGCTGATGCTGGCCCAACACAGCAGGCAGTGACAGTGCTGCAGATGGCCCCTGCCTAGCCAGGGGCTGCAACATCTTGCTCCTCAGGCCCCACATTGCATCTCTGCACATTCCTTCCCCCTCATGCTGCTGCTGCTGAGCACTCTCCTCACTCAGGAGGGGCTTGGTCTGTGCTCACAACACGCTTCCTCATCTAGATTGCTTCTGCTCCAGCACCTCCTCCTCACTAGCCTTTTCTCCTCCTTCAGATCTCAGGTGAGAAACCTCTGCCAGCACCCTAGACTAGGATTACCATTTCCCCTGTTATTCCACAGCGCCATATTTTCCTTCTCATTGCCTGAATTCTTGGGGATCCAGGAAGCAAGATCCTCACCAACTTCTTCTTGCTCCCTTGCCTAGACCCTAGTCCTCAGCCTGACCTAAAGGCGTTCTATGTGCATAATGGAATTAACTGGACTGGGGAGGACTGATGACTAAGCCACCTCAGCCAGAAAGTACCGCCAAGAACTACTGCTTCATGTTGGCAGCAGAAAGCCTCAGCCTGGCCTTTGTACCTAAAGGTATTAAAAGAAAACAGGGCAGCACCTTGGAGTTACCAGGAGGGAAAAACAGACTATAGAGCAGGGGGAGGTGATGGCAGCAAGTTGGGGATGGAAAATGAATAGATTTTTAGTAACCCATTCAGCCCTTGCAGAGGGCAGGCTGAAGGAGCCAGCAGGACACCGGTCAAGCTCAAGACTTGGAGGTACCAGGTACCACAAGGGAAAATGGTTACTCAAAGGGCTAAACGCAGAGGATTGGTTCAAAGTCTGCACTCAGTTTAGGAGAATACCCAGCTTTCCCTGCATAGAAGGGTGACATGTATGACCCTCACCTGTATTCCCCAGATGTGGAGGTTTATCAACCTTCTTGAAAAACTGAATCCAAGCGACTGACTCCAAGTTTTGAACCACTAGCACAGTGGAGGGTGGGATTAGGTGACACTAAAAATCAGAAACTTCATGAACGTGATGCTGGGTGGATATTGGGATTCTTCTACTTGGGAAGCCAAGTAGACTCCTTCCCCTACTTGGCTTCCAGAATGCAGAGAAATGAGATAACACCACATTCACAAAATAGGAAGAGGATTCTACAATATAAAGAAAGTAAATAATTGAAATAGCTCTCAGAAATTAAAATTATACTAGCTAAGTGTTGAAAATAAGCTCAAGGAAATTTCCTGCAAAGCCAAGCAGAAGGACAAAGTGGTGGAACAGAAAAGGAAAATAAAGATAAGGAAATCTCAGGGCTATTCTAATAGGAGCTCCAAAATGAGAGGGAAATATCAAATAAATAATATAAGAAAATTCACCAGAAATAACAGAGATGGGTTTTCAGGTTAATGGGGCTGGGGGGGGGGGAGTCACAAAACAGGAACCCAAGTAATTAAATATAAAAGGGGTAGCATTGTGACATAGGAAAGTGATGCTTTTGACCCTCACCTGTGTCCCCCAGATGCTGGAGGTTTATCAGCCTTATAGAAGAACTGAATCTATGTAATTGACTGCTGCACTACTGACTCCTTCAGCATGTTCTCTGCAAGGGATGCTTCTTTCTCTCTGCTGGGTCATTTACTAAAAATCTATTTATTTTCCCAAAAAGAGAAAACTGGTCACTTATAAAAAATCTGGAATGAAATAGCATCATATCTTCCAAAGACAATCCAATGATTGTCAACCTAGAATTTTCTCCTCATCTAAACTATCAATTAAGGCTGAGTGAAGAATTACAATTTTTTTGAACTAAAACAACTAAAAATTTTCTTTCCATTTACTCTTTTTTTTTTTCAGGAAGTTACGAAGTAGGGTGTTCTACAAAAATGAAGTTGTACACTAAGAGGAAGTCCTGGAACTGCAGAAGGTAGGCTCCAGAAAAGAAAAAAATGGAACTGAAGGACAAGAGTCTCCAAATTGAAAAGAAGCACTGAAAATATTGAAATATTGCTAGAGAGCCCCTAAAGAATTAGTGACAACAGAAAGAAAAATGAGGCAATTATTAACTCCAGATCAAAACATTAAGTTGAAAAAGAGAGGAAATATAATCAGGAGGACACAATCAATGTATAGTAAAATTTAGTTATCTAATTATAATAATAATGAATATTGAACATCTATAGACCTCAAAACTGTGCTACATCTGTTGAGGGAGTGATGAGGGGAGAAGAGGAAAGTACATTTAGGGTTGTAATAGTCAGCTTTGGGAAAGGAATTCATAGCATTTGCCAGTTTCCATGTTGTAAATACTCCCCTTGTGACTGATTTCAAGCTACCACTGTGATCTCACTGATGGAGACTTGGGGAAGGATGCACATCATCTCCAGCGAACCACTGCCTTTGGCTTTATTCAGCTTTATCACTACCAGACCTTGCTGTTGAAGAGAACTGAGGATCCCCTCAGAAGAACAGAACACCAAGTTGTAGTGGATGAGGACACTGAAGGGAAGCCACATGGTTCTGGCTGCAGGAGACGGGCTATGAATTTGCCACCTTCTCTCCTGTCCCAGTCTTCAACAATTACCTGTTCATTGGTGACCCCTGGGCGCAGGGTCCCATGCTTGTAGTCCTCCAGCAACTGTACTGCCTCTCTGAGACGTCTCTGCAGGGGAAATAAAAAAATGTTGAGAGACACAGATCCAGGGGCTCTCACAATGCTTCTTCTTGTAGCAGACCATTAGAATCAATCAAGTCTGAAATACTCAGCCTGCAAGGCCTGCCCTCCACCTAAATGTCCTTCCAGAGAGGAAGGGCTAAAGGACAGTGGTATGATAACACTTGGAATATTAACTGGCAGTTTTAAAAGTAGTGTTGAGCAACATGTGATTCCATGGCCATGTCTCCAACATATTTTTTTGAATGCAAAAGCAAATGACAGATCCATATGATGCCATTGAATATACTAAACAAACAAAACTCATGCACACATAGAGAACAATATTTTCCATGAGAATATTTATATGTGTAAATGTCGGAAAAAGCTCTAGGATAAGACCTGCCAAATTGGTGACAGGGGTTACACTGAGATAAGAGGAAAGAGCCCAGATTTGACAAGAAGTGTCAGAAGAAAATGTGATCTTAACTGTAATATTTAAAGTTTTAATATAGAACATATTTATGTAATACATATATAATTTCTTTTCAACATTTTAAAAACACTAGCAGAGATTTACATACTAAAGTACATATGGCTACAATAACTGATAGGGAGAGAGAAGGGAAAAAAGGAGGATTGAATTGTATGATTTTTTTAAAAAGCTAAAGAAACAGCAATAGTGCTGGAAGGCAGTCTTTGTTCACCAAAAGATTTGTATAAGAATATTCATAGCAGCACTAATCAACAGTCCAAAACTGGAAACTCAAATGTCAACAGTAGACTGGAAAAGCAAATTGTTTCATATGCACACACATATGAAACTTTCTACAGCAACAGAAAGACTAAGTTACAAACACACACAACAATGTGAATGAATCTCACAAACAATGTGAAAGAATTTATTGTCCAAAAAAGATCATCCTAATATCTCCCATCCCCTGTGCTTCTTAGGAAACTTCCCACATCCCAGTCAAGAGGTAGAGTCTATATCATACCCATCCCCGACCCCACAACTTGATCCCAGGCGGGCCTTTGAGAAGGCCTCAACAAATTGAGTACGGCCCTAGGTCATAAAATGCCTTGTCTTCTGCCTTGTTCTCTTGGGGTGGTCCTTGCCTTTGGCCTTAGCCATCAGATATAAGGAAGCCCGAGCAGCCTATGGAGAGACTATCTGGGTAGGAACTGAAGCCACCAGCTGATGTCAGCCCCAACTAATACGCCATTCAAGTGAGCCTTCAAGCCACCCTTGCCAGTGCTTCAGAGCCCTGTCCAAGCTGAAGATCAGTGAGCAAAAGAATTGAGTGCCATTTAAGCCACTAATTTTTGGGGTGATTTGCTACATAGCAATAAAGTCTAATATGCATAAAGATAAGAGGCCAAATAGTACATATAAAGTACAAAAGAAGCAAAACTCACCATGCTAATGTTACCTTTGGCAGGGGGTACTGACTCAGGAGGGGCGTGAGGGAAGAAAGTTCAATGTCTTATCGAAGTGGTGGTTACACAGCACAAGTATTTGTCTCAATCCTTAAATATCCCTAAACAGACAACAGTGATGCGTAGCAGACCATGTCAAGGTCACGTGAGGGTCCTCAGAGTGGGGGGTAGAAAACCAGTGATGTCACCCTGCCCCACTCTGGCAGAGGAATAAGGCAGGCTGAGGACAACTGAGGTTGGAAGGGGAACCCCTTGACTAAAGGAGGACGCAGCACTAGGACAGGCACCCAGGGGGGCAGGCCAGGGTGGGGGGGTGAGGAGGGGTGCTGGGCCAGCTGGCAGGGCAGTCATGTCAGATGGAAAGGAACAGCCACAGCCTGTACTGCAATTGCAGGCCTAACTACCCCTCCACCCAGACAAGCCAGCTGGGCTGCCCGACCATCAGCCTGACCATCAGCCTGTGTGTGAAGGGCCCCATGCTGGTGCAGCCAGGAGAACTTATGACTGAGGAGCAGCCACCCTGCTGGAAAGTCCAGCTCCTGCTCTTTCAAATGTATTTTGAAATGTTAATTCCTAAATTCCAGAGTCCTTTCTCAGAATTTATTTCCAGAATGCAGAAAGCTTTGTATTTGGGGAATTCCCCCCTCCCCAGTTAATCGATGCTTTTAGAGAAAATATTAAGGAAAAAAATGGAAAAGCAGAAAAAATCATTATAAATCACTTATAAACTTACCACAGAGGCTAGCCACTGCCAGAAAGAGATGAAGTCTTTCTAAGACCTGACACGTTTTTTTTTTTTTCAACAAAATCCTTTTAACTAGATGAGTGGTTTAGTATTTGAGTTCAGAGTTTAGACAGACCCTTACCATGCCGCCCCCCGGCACCCCCAGAGTCTCCTAGGGATGCAACAAACTCCCCACCCCTAGCCAGCTTCCTCCCTCGGCCAGTCTCTGCCCCCACACAATGAATGCTCCACTTTCCAGGGCTCAATGGTGAATGGCCCCGTGTTCTCATTATTTTCCCACTCCAGGGATCTCTTGAGTTCCTATAACAACCTGGCCAGATTCCATCTCATTTGACACGGTCTTCAAAGGGAGCCCTCCCGCCACAAGGATAAGCTCCAAAGAGCCCCATCTTGGCACCGATCGAGGGAGAACTAAACCCAAAGTTCCTAAAGACAAGTCTGAGAATCCAGGACTGAAGGAAGCTAGAACGTGCTTGTGTGCCACTGGGCCTCACAACCCTCAGCCACCCCCTCAGCCTGCCTCCACATGGCACCTCACAATCAGAGGCTCACATACCACTTTTGTGGAGAGGTGCCCGAGGGCTGGCTGTTCTGGGGCTGTCTTCCACCCTAGAGAAGGCCACTGAAGGGAAAGGTGGGTCTCCTTGCTTTAAACCCTCATCTCACCTCAATGTATTGTGAGGCTGGTGGAAGAGCCCTGAGGTGGGGAAAACAGGAGGCAGTGGTAGTGTGAACTCTGCAGGAAGTCTTTTCAACCAGGAACAAATGGCAGTCAGCCCCTGAATGCAAAGACCATGAGAGACAGGCTGGCCCAGAGACAAGTGTGAGCCCTTCTGTGGAGCCCACAGCCAGGGGGAGGGACACCCAGCCCGGGGCTTCCCAGACTCCAGCACCAGCCTGCCCAAGTCTGGCTCACCAGCCAGAGAGCGTCACAGTGAGTCTCCTGGTATCTGACAGGGGCATGATCTCTAGTTCTTTCCAGAAATACAAGCATCTGGGAGGTCTGCTCCAGCTGCAGTAAATTTAACAGAGGAGAATCTTGGTCCCTTGGTCTCACCCAGGGCCCCAAGTGGGAGGAACACGCAGCAGTGGTGGGCTTGCAGTGGACAGGTGGTAGTCGGAGAGCAGGGTGCCATGGTGGCCAGGAAGGGGGATGGAGGGATGGGGGAAGGGCACAAAAAAGAAAGGCAGGGAAAGAATTCTCAGGAACAAAACTAAACTTTAAGGAGGGGCACCCTAGGCCATTCCCAAACTAAATGCAAACTGAATGTAATCCCTGTTTGGCTAAAGGAAGATGTCTAAATGAATTTAATAGTCCATTTGCTATAATGCTGTTTAGTACATCAAATATACAGTAGGAATGACAGTACCTGGACAGAATGTGAGGCGCACCCAGAAATATTCCACCCCCTTCTGGCAAAAGGACCCACCCACCATCTGGGTGGTACTGGCATCCTGCCTCTGAACCTCCCCGGGCCTCACTGCCATGGACACCCTTCCTCCCCAACAGCCTACATTGTTCCCGTCCATCCATTAACATTCAGTGCTACTCTCTCCAGGAATCTTCCAGAAATGTTTCCTTGCTCCTCTGAATAGTCACAGAGCATTTGGGCTGCCCCTCTCTGAGGTCATGTGACCCCATGTCATCTGTCACAGATTGCCAGGTTAGGGGACACGGCACTGGTTTTAGGTAATTGCAGGACCAGCAAAGCCATCACCAACACAAGGCCACACACCATGAGCATTCAACAAAGATAATGACCGAGGTTTCTGGGAGAAGTAGAGGGTATAGTCAACACCAGGAATCAAGGTTTCAAAGCAGTTGACAAAAGTCCCTCAATGGTGATACCAGTTATGGAATCCCAGGATTCTAAGACACTATGTCCTGGACACAAAGGATGTAGATAAGAAATCCTGTTAGACCTAAAAGTTTACAGGGATGGCTATTTATGCTCTAAGAGTTGAATTTAAAAATTATAAAGATTGGATATGAATGAGGTAGAAACAAAAAGTTGACAGTCAATATGGTCAATAAAATAAATGGGCCCAAAATGTATATATTGCAAATGGGCAAGAATTTGAAATGCAATTTGACATTTCAGGATTTTTTAAATGAGAAATCCACTAAGTATTTTAAATTTAGACTACCCGATGTCATTTAGAATAAACTTAAATGGATGCTTCACTCACTATTGAGAATATAAGCTGATGTGATCATGGTGAAGGCGAACACAACCTGAAAGGCAATTTGGCAAGATATGTCAAAAGCCTAAAACGGCACTCAGAAACCACACTCTAGGAGCTTTCCGCAGAAAAAGAGGAACACACGGACATTTATGTACAAGGAAATTTAGTACAATATTATTTACAACAGAGGAAGACTTGAAACCATCCAAATGGTGGTCAACAACTGGAAAAATCTTAATTATAGAATAGATTATTTTGAATTACTTTGTAATTAAATATACTTTGAAACACAACCCCAAAAATGCTTGTGATAGCTACATGGGAAAAAATACATGTCATGTATACAAAGATGTTACATATGATTCTATGTGTATATATTTGTATATACACATACATACATATGCATATGTACACATTATGTATGTTCTATATACATTCTGTGTGCATTTGTTTCTATGTCTATATACATATATGTATCTCACATATACACATGTTATATAAGCCATCTTAACTTTGTACATTTACATGGCGATTATTTCTGGCAGATGGGATAATGAACTATTTTTATTTTCTACTTTAGACTTTACTGTGTTTCTGTGTTCAGGTGTTAACACCAGAATCACTTCACATCGGTAGT